AAAATACAAGAATGGACAGTTTACTTGGTAATATGAATTATATTCATTTCCACTTACCGTCTAATTTCTGTATAGTTTTAGCTGCACTGAACTGACCAATTGAAAGCTGTGTTCGGAGGAGAGCTCAAAATCGGCGCTTCCGCCCGTAAAGCGTACACATTTGTAAAGTAAAAGCGTACACATTTGTAGTAAATGCAGGAGAGTGAATATAATATCTCTGAAACATAGCGTTACAATTTTTGCTGCGAAAAATAAAGAGTTTGAGAGAAACAAGAACATCAAATTAATTATAGCGTTATTAAGTTGTACTGTAGTTCAAGTCTCGACGTCCCCTTAATTGGTGCCAGCGTTGGCCTGCATATCCCGTGCACTCGCCTGAATTTGCCAGATTTTGCCTTCACTTTTGTGTTGGTTTTGTCCCGAGCTCCGTAATAGAAAAGCTAACGGCGGCCTCGCGTGCCCTGCTTTGATGTCTTGTGGACACGGAACTCGCAACGGCCTATGGCGGATTTTCTATTTCATGATATTCGCTGCCTGGTGCGTGTATGATGTGTGGACGATACGTGTATGATGCGCGTATGATGTGGGTATGATGTGTGTATGATGTGGGTACGATATGTGTATGCTGTGTGTTTTATGCGTGTATGATACGTGTATGATGTGTATACTGCATGTATGATGTGTGTACCATGCGTGTATGAGGTGTTTGCCTTTCATTCATACAGCGTCGTGTGATGGTCATCATTGTTCCAGTTACGTGCACGATACTCAGACTTGAGATACGCGTGACGGTAGCGGCCAGCTATCCAAACAACGGTTACTTCGTAATTGTTCGTTTTTAACGTCAGAGTTTGAAGTTCTCTTTGTTTTGGGGTGCGGCCGGGGCTGAAATAATTGTAAGGTCAATTGTTGAAAGACTGTGCAGGCGCGGTTAAATACTTCTTTTAATCAGTTGCATAGGCGGGATGGGCTATGCTATGCGTGGCAGGGTCGTTCTTGCACTCTTGAAGTGAACCCATGCAGGCACTTAATTAATTAATGATATTTTCTCCAAATAGCGATGCACTTTTACCCTTATTTGGGTCATCTTGGCCCAGATTTGCCCGGAAAATGGACGTTTTCCGGGCACTAGCAGAGCTGCGCTCTGCTAGTGTGTCACTATTTGGACAAGATGACCCACCCATTTTCTGAGTGCTTGTTTTGTTCTGAAGACAAGACTGTGTTTGCTGACTCACTTCTGAAGGCCCGGACGCCAACAAGCCAGGCTCGAGCCAAGACTTGAACTGCCCTCTTCGTGTACTCTGCTCGCTCATTAGGAGATGACCTCTTGTTGGCTCCTCGCTGACTCTGTTGACCCTCGCAGCATATTGCACTCATCACTCTGAATCCTGCCCTCGCATCAATCACTAAGACATTTGTATGCAATACTCAATAGTAAACGAATCCTTCGATATTGCGTCTCGTTCAAATCTGGTTTAGGGGGTTGTTCGACCCTGGTTATTGCCGACTGTCTCTGCAATCCTTTTTTAGGTTACATTCTGCTGCTACTAATGAAATTCGCGTAGGCTTTACGAGGTGAAAAATCCATTATTACTGCGTGTTGTTGCGACTCCGTCTCACCAGGTCCCTTCCATTAGCTGTTATTGTACACACAATCGACTTGGAAGATCAATTTGTTGAAGCGTGTTGACACAGCATTATCGCTTGTTCCACTCGCTGATAATGTCTGGTCACGGTCGATGTTAGCCGAACAGCTACTACGTCCCGGGCTGCTTTAAATAAATGTTTAAGATTTTATTTTAGTGTTAATCCTTTAGCGTCCAACAATACATATCTGTTGCCTTTCAAAATGTCGTTTTCGGTCATGTTTGAAGCTCATTCGTCTATTTGGACAAATATATCTTTATACCTTTAATTTCAGGCTTCGCCATGACCAGATGGACATTTAGTTCACCTTTCAATAAAGCCCAGCAATATAGTATAGATGCAATGTGGTGTTGTGCATTCAGAAGAAAATTGGGTGTTAAGGAGATATGTCACTGACGGCTCATGATGAAGATTCTTCCTAAAATATTACGTGTTCTAGATTACGCGGGTCACCCCAAAATTCAACGTAAAAAGTATAGCTACTTACCTTCAGGAAATACGAGCTAAACGAACTTGAGCGTTTTCTGCAAGCTGGTAAAATTAGTAGGAGAGTAATTAGCGACGAGCTTAACGACTTGGGCTGGCTTGTTGATCTCTGCAATATGGCTGGAAGCTCGCGTGTTGTTGGTCCCATTGCGTCGCGGTCTCCGAGACGTTTGCGTGCCACTAATTATATATATTAGCCGCTAATGTGGGGGAAATGTTGCATTATAGTTTACTCAATGCGCTGGTAATTAGAACTTTGAGTAGGATTAATATTTGAATTTAACGACGGGCCGCTGGCACTTGCGCTGCACTCTGAGGATCGTGCAGTCAAAAATACTCGAGTGGAAATCGTTGCGGACGCCGAGAGCGTCTACATGGTGACGCGTTTTGTTCATGTTGCACTGATACCCCCCTTCTGCCGGGCCAAACTGCGCATGAAAGACTCGCACAAGGAAAAAAAGGACATCACTATTTGGAGAAAGACCCATTCATTTCTCTGAGTGCTCGGTTTGGCTTATATTGCAATTTTGATAATTAATCACTACACAATTTTTCGTCAAGTCGTTGAGACATCCGAGAAGAACGATGCGCGCTAGTTCGTTAGTATCGTAGAATTTTCTTTATTGATAAGTGGTAATTTTAATTCGACTGACATATAATTATTAGTATCGTTTGATTCGAAAATTTAATTATGGAAGCAAGTCTTGTGGCATATTTGGTCAGTGAATATGTGTACCCTATATAATATGCCCTTTCAGCGCGTTGTTTTCTAACACGTACTCTATACGCTACGTACCACCCCTCCGGCATTTATCATTTGTTCGGGAGTTAGTTCCTGGTAGCTTATATAGGTCGTGGTGACATTATTGAGATGCACGGTTCTGATTGATCTGCTTCTTCTAAATATGAAAGTGTGCTCACAAATGTCAGCGCACGAGATGAAGAACTATTCCCAATAAATGACACTACAGGCTGACTAACGATCGCTGTGGCTGCCCTGCGTCACTCGGAGCCTCAATCAATACGTCCAGCATCTCTGAGAAGGTTAAACCTCTCCGCGCCCGTTGCCGCGACTTATGAGGCGCTGTCACCACAAGAACGTTACCTCTCCGCGCCCGTTGCCGCGACTTATGAGGCGCTGTCTCCCAAAACTTGCCTCGCTCACTTCTGATATATTTCTTTTGTTTGTTTCATACTCTCACTTCACGCCACTTAATGTTCGTGCTGGCCCGATGGATGCTCGATGCGCTCGATGTAAAACGACTTGCTCCAAAAAATGCAGTCCTCGGCATGCCGTCACGCTGCCTTCACTGTACACGCACCTCAGACGCGCGTTTTCGTTTCTTAATGACTTGCGACAAGTTAAGGCACTATTTTTTGTTTGGTCCTGAGTCCTGACTTCTGCTGGTCATTTTCTGAGCGTTCGCGTTAATTCATATTAAAGATAGATAACATTTAAAATTTTGCTGTTCACAGTTTCATCTTGCGTGATTGATAGAGATAAAAACCTCATGGAACTATTACTTGGTTGAGCGAACTACGTGACATGATTTATAGTTGTTTTGGAATACCTCAAAAAGGTTTTTCCTGAAGGAAATCGCTGCGTAATTGAAATTCACTGCCGCTTTTGATGTGGCCGTCGACAAACTGCACGATATTGTTTTTTTTTTTCAGCGCAATGACATCGCCTTGAGAGTTCCTGACGTAGATTTCTTGCGTTAATTAAGTTCTTGCGGTAATTAACGACCCGTCCCCTGCTGGGACGAGCGTTCGGGACTCCTAATTACTGCTCCGAACGAAGCCAATTCTCAATTTTGCTCTGGAATTTCCTATGACTGAACCGAAATTAGATTTTTACAGTGGTTCCTTCTGATGTTCAGAGGGATCCTGTCCGCTCCTGATAGTGGTTGCCACCGATGAATCGCTGTCGGTCTCACTCATGAGTGTCAGTAATTTCTATTGTTGAAAGAGAAATTGAAATGAGTCATAAAATAAGCGAAATTGCCATTGAAGGATGCGAAGGTTTAAGGCAGACTTTATATAGATGCCGCTGTGGATTTGAGATGGTTCATCGAATCTCCTGACAGGAGAAGGTTGAAGATACAAAGCTGCTAATCAATAGCTTTGTTTGATTGGATGAGTGGACAGCTGGAGGAGCTAGCCAGTGATGCACTTGTTGGTGGCAACGATGCCATTCCCTTAACATTTCAGTTCTTCTTGCTAGGACGAGGGCAAAATTATGTGCATTTTGGGTGTACCTTCGTTTCGTATGTCTAATTATTAGCAACTTTAAAATTGTTAACTTAAAACATTATTGATATATTTAGATTATTAATTCTTGTATAAGGAATGCTAGTTTAGAAGAATAGGATTTGAATAGAATATAGAATATAGAATAGGATATGACAACAGAGGACAAGAAGTTACATTTTGACAGAGGCAGGTCTTCAAGTCCCGTGGGTTACCACTCACAACAGTGGGCAGTTCTGCCACACTTCCCACTCAGAATAGCGGGCAGTTTTGCCACACTTCCCACTCAGAATAGCGGGCAGTTCTGCCACACTTCCCACTCAGAATAGCGGGCAGTTTTGCAACACTTCCCACTCAGAATAGCGGGCAGTTTTGCCACACTTCCCACTCACAATAGTGGACAGTTCTGCAACACTTCCCACTCACAATAGTGGACAGTTCTGCAACACTTCCCACTCACAATAGTGGGCAGTTTTGCCACACTTCCCACTCACAACAGTGGGCAGTTCTGCAACACTTCCCACTCACAATAGTGGGCAGTTTTGCCACACTTCCCACTCGGAATAGTGGGCAGTTCTGCAACACTTCCCTCGACGAAGGTAATTTCGTTTACCGAGATGGCAGAAGTCAGCAGTGCGCTAAACTTCTGCCGTCTCGGTTCGTTCCTCAATTAACCCTTAGGATATTTTTTACCTGGAGTGTCTTCCGGCGTCACTGAAATAATGATTATCCGTGGATAATTTTACAATCGCTGGCCATTGTGACCACACGGTATGCCGTTCTCTGCTAGGCAATTATAATTATCAATGGATATGATTTATGACCGTGCGCGGTGGCTGTGGTGCAGCGTGATCTTAGTTCACCGTGCGTTACACTGCGGGTTTATGTCGCTCCGATATGTGGGTAGAAAACTTAGTTATTCTTACTGTATTTGTTACTGTTACGCTTAGTTCATATTACTTCGCTATTATGGCACGCAAATGTAGTCCTTTAAAAGATGCATCTTACTGTCTACCATTGTGCAAATTTCCCAATATGTCAAAAAAATATACACTGTTAGTTCGGAGTTGTTAGACTTGCATTTAATCTGGAACTTTCCCTTTCATCTGGAACTTTCCCTTACATTTTATCTGGAACTTCCCCTTTCCCCTGGAACTCGTTCTATTTCCCTTTTCATCTCGTTTCCATCATATTTTCACCATTCCCTTTCCATCACGTTATGCCCTCCCTGTCTCTCAGTATCCTCCATGTGTGTGCGTCCTCATGTCGGCGCTCACGTCTTAAGAGGCTCTTTAGTTGCGCCTGCTCATTAGGAGCCTCGTCTGCCACAGCGCACAACCCTGAGCCGTCAGTGGCCGCCGATAACTCGGTCACTGATCGACCCTAGCTCTGATTGGCCGACGTTAGGGCGCCGATACCTCGGTCACTGATTGACCCTAGCTCTGATTGGCCGACGTTAGGGCGCCGATAGTCCCTTCACTGTTTGGTCCCAGCAATCCATGCGACGCCCGAGCTGTCTTTCTAACTGTAGCTTTTATTTCTTGAGTGATGGTCTCTTGCCAGACTGCTCTGTGGGACACTAATTAGCGCTGAAGTCACGGTTGCGTTTATCTTTTCTAGCTCAATTTTATTGCAGAACTTGACGAGTTTCGTTGCCTACATTGGGTTTCTTGTGCAACTTAACTAAGGCTATCTGTATGTGAAGAAGCGTACTTAAAAAGAGGCATGCATCACACTGAAGCATGATTTAGAGAGGTGCATGCTTCTGACAAATTAAGGCATGTTACCGAGAAGCGTGATAGCATATTAATTATTTTAGCATCTCTACTTCCCGCGTGTCCTTCCTTATCTCCTCTATACCCTGAACTCCCCCTGCTAGTTCTCTAATAAATTTCCTACCTCAAAGTTTTTCGAGAAAACTCTCATCCTTTCAAGCTAATTTTTTCCGAAAAATTTTCATCTCGGACTGCATTAGGAAGAGCATCGGCTGCCCGGCGCTCCAGCCGACCAACTTAAAGGGGAAGAAAGTAAAGGAATTCCTCGTCTGAAATAATAGAAAGCCAGCCCCCGGCCTACTATTGGACGCACTCACAGTTGATTACTTCAGTTTCCTTTGTTAGTTTTGGTTGGGGTACTCCTGCTGCATCACAATGTCGCTGATTCATTGATAACTTAATGAAGAATTGTCGTTGTCCCTGCAGCTTCTTTTGTTTGCTCCTTCAACTCGAATTGTTTACTGGATTTATGAGTTCTTCACCACTTTTTTAGCGCATTTTATACTCACGCCACTTCTGATGCTACGCGATCAAACAGCGTAGAGCAAACGCTTAAAAATGAAGTATTCACTCTGCAGTTATTTGAATGCCACATGACCAACTCTCGTTGCGTTAGAATATGCACAGAAATATATCGATAATTTCGTTGGTATCTCTGATATGAATGCTTATTTATACGCAATATTTGATGTCACTATGACTGTTTTTCAAACTAATTTTCTAGAATAGGATTATTTTAAGAAGATCTTGGCTTATGAAAATTACACAATGTAAAAACGTCAAGTTTATGATTAATAATTTATGTTGTTTATGTCTCCGCTCTGAAAAATAGAGAACGGAAGTTTAGCGCAATTCAAAATATCTAACAGACGGCAATAATGACCTAGATGTCATCACGTTGTTTTAAATGAATTACTTGATGTTTGAATCAGCATTTGGGAGCTGGTGAAGGCAGCGCTGTAGGCTACAGCCAGCCACACTCCGGAGACCTCAGCTTTAAGGGGCCAGCTTTTGGTTTGGTGCTAGATGCCTGCGCTCTGCTACTGTAGCTAGCACGCTGCTCTGCTACTGTAGCTAGCACGCTGCTACACACAAGGCTCCTAGTTACCTACACTTGTCTAGCTCCTTCAGTCGCCCCCTAGACACACAAGGCTCCTAGTTACCTACACTTGCCTAGCTCCTCCAGTCGCTCCCATAGACGCACAAGGCTCCTATAGTTGCCTACACTTGCCTAGCTCCTGCAGTCGCCCCCTAGACGCACAAGGCTCCTAGTTACCTATACCTGCCTAGCTCCTCCAGTCGCCCCCTAGACGCACAAGGCTCCTAGTTACCTACACTTGCCTAGCTCCTCCAGTCGCCTCCTAGACGCACAAGGCTCCTAGTTACCTATACTTGCCTAGCTCCTTCAGTCGCCCCCCTAGGGTCCCGAGGACGGCGGTATCATAGCTGCGCCTATTACGAACTTCTGGCCTCCGGCCGCACAGTAACTTTGTTGTCCTTATCTCGGGAGGCAAGGGAGGGAGGAAAGAGCAGGGGGTGGGAGGGAGAGGCCTCCTACCCTCTGCCTCTACCTCCTACCTTTGCCTGCCCTGTAGGAGGAAGAAGGCTGGGAGGCAGTAGTGGCTGAAGGATGAAGTTTCTATAAAAAAAAAATCACTGCAAACTTTCAGCGAAGTTCGCGCCCTGTTTTCACGATTTTTTCTGCCAATGTCACATGAGTAGCCATCGCATTCAACTCGCCACCTTCCAATAGCAAAAACATATATTACCGGTACTGGACAAAGTTTTATATTTTCGAAGTTTTCGCCTATACATTTTCCCTATCCATTGGAAAAAAACTTTCGAGGATTAGCGCACAACTCTGCAATTTTGTTATCGACCACACACAACAACTTTCGTTTCTTAGAAGCGTTAGAGGGTTTTGTTAAAAGGCTGGCGAGTCTATTGTAGTATAAGACGATGGTGTGACACGAGCATTCAACGGCACGGCAGAAATATCGTGTGCGAAAAATTCGTCAATTATTGTTCAGCATTTCTAATCTTTCTTCAAATTTTGGTCAGTATTTCAAAAATTTTATCAGATATTGTTCGGAATCCTTATTATTTGTCATGTTGGCAGCAAGACTGTCCCCATAATATTAGAATGCTTGTTAATAGTCATTTGTTATGATGCTGATAGCAAGCCTTAGAACATACAAAGATGTTGCGTTTTCATTGTTTATTACATATTCCAAAATTACAATATAAAAATGTCAGGCGTTACCCTTATTTTGTCCAACCTCTGTATGTGATTTTCTACGTCGACAGCAAGACTGTGACAATAATATTGGAATGCTTAATTATATACATGATTTCCTAGGTTAGTAGCAAGACTGTGCCAATATTAGAATGCGTAATAATATATAAATGATTTGCTATTTTGACAGCAAGACGGTGTCAACAATATAAGAATAGTTAATAATATACATGATTTTGTATGTTGACAGCAAGACGGTGTCAACAATATTAGAATGCTTAATAATATAATTGATATTGTATGTTGACAGCAAGACTGCCCGAACGGCTGCCTGACGCCCGACAAGTTCGTTGACATGTACAAGATGTTCTTCCCCTCCGGCAACGCTGAGGAATTCTGCGACCATGTCTTCCGTACCTTCGATATGGACAAGAACGGATATATTGATTTTAAGGTACGCAATATATGTGTAGTGTTATATTGTTTTTGTGGTAGTATAACAAGTAGGTTCTTCTACATGATGCCTGTAATCATAACTTCGACAGGCCTTTTAGGTTTATACCGTAGTTTGCTGAATATCGTTTATTTACAGACGTTTTTTTGTGGGTAATTATTGGTAATATATAAGCATTTAGGGGTAGAGGCACAAAAAGGAAGTATATAGACCGGAGGATTCTGCAAAAACCCATTTGAGTGTTGAGACTGCTATGATATTTCGACGTTGATATCATTACTTAGAAAATTTCAGAAGCACGTACAATAAATGTACAGTGTACAGCTCCTGTTCTCAGAGACCTCATACCGAGACATCACCACATCGTCACAACCAGTATATATATCCGTATTAAATTCGTGTATGTTTATTTATAAGTGATGATCCGTATTAAATGCGTGTACGTTTATTTATAAGTGATGATCCGTATTAAATGCGTGTATGTTCAATTCTGGAAACTTCATTACGCTTCCTTTATTATTTGCTTCTATTGAACCTGAGCTCAACTCGCTACCTTTTATTTATCGCCTGACGACGAGCGGAGATACTTAAATGCTGGCTGCAAGTCCCGTAGATTTATTCGATTTATCCGTTCCATTATACCCTTATTTAACGGTGACATAGTTAATGTTTCCCCTCGTATAATGTCGATCTCTTGAATATTTTCCGTCGTATAATGCCGATCTCTTGAATATTTTCCCTCGTATAATGCCGATCTCTTGAATATTTTCTCGTATAATGCCGATCTCTTGAATATTTTCCCTCGTATAATGCCGATCTCTTGAATATTTTCTCGTATAATGCCGATCTCTTGAATATTTTCCCTCGTATAACGGCAATCGTTGTGGCCCTCCACACCTTCAGGGCAAGCGTTTCCTAATACATGATGGCTAAGCGGTATACATTAGCTTGAACTCGTATAGTGGATGTACGTGTATAGTTTGTGTGTGGCGTGTGGCTCTGTGTGGCGTGCAGGTGTGGCTCGCTCTGTATTAAAGTCGACCTTCTCCTGCCTGCTGGCCTTTTGTCAGCTCTTCTTTTGCCTTCTCCCTCTTTAGTGCTCTCTATATCCTCTCTTTTGCGCTCCCTTCCCTTTCTTCGCTGCTTTCTTCCCTCTCTTTTGTGTTCCCTTTCCTCTCTTCGGTGCTCTCTTTCTCTCTCTACTGTGCTCTCTTCCCTCTCTCCTGTGCTCTCTTCCTTCTCTTCTCTGCTCTCTTCCCTCTCTTTTGTGCTCTCTTCCCTCTCTTCGGTGCTCTCTTCCCTCTTCTGTGCTCTCTTCCCTCTCTTTTGTGTTTCCTTTCCTCTCTTCGGTGCTCTCTTTCTCTCTCTACTGTGCTCTCTTCCCTTTCTCCTGTGCTCTCTTCCTTCTCTTCTCTGCTCTCTTACCTCTTTTGTGCTCTCTTCCCTATCTCCTGTGCTCTCTTCCCTCTCTTTTGTGATCCCTTCCCTCTCTTTTGTGCTCCCTTCCCTCTCTTCGGTGCTCTCTTTCCTCTTTTTTGTGATCCCTTCCCTCTCTTTTGTGCTCTCTTCCCTCTCTTTTGTGCTCTCTTCCCTCTCTTCTGTGCTCTCTTCCCTCTCTTTTGTGCTCCCTTCCCTCTCTTCTGTGCTCTTCTCTTCCCTCTCTTTTGTGCTCTCTTCCCTCTTTTATGTGCTCTCTTCCTTCTCTTTTTTTGTGCGAGGGAAGCGCAGCAGTGCCCAGCAGTGGGGGGCGCTGCAGTGCACAGCAGTGGGGGGCGCTGCAGTGCCCAGCAGTGGGGGGCGCTGCAGTGCACAGCAGTGGGGGGCGCTGCAGTGCATAGCAGTGGGGGGCGCTGCAGTGCACAGCAGTGGGGGGCGCTGCAGTGCACAGCAGTGGGGGGCGCTGCAGTGCACAGCAGTGGGGGGCGCTGCAGTGCACAGCAGTGGGGGGCGCTGCAGTGCACAGCAGTGGGGGGCGCTGCAGTGCACAGCAGTGGGGGGCGCTGCAGTGCACAGCAGTGGGGGGCGCTGCAGTGCACAGCAGTGGGGGGCGCTGCAGTGCACAGCAGTGGGGGGCGCTGCAGTGCACAGCAGTGGGGGGCGCTGCAGTGCACAGCAGTGGGGGGCGCTGCAGTGCACAGCAGTGGGGGGCGCTGCAGTGCACAGCAGTGGGGGGCGCTGCAGTGCACAGCAGTGGGGGGCGCTGCAGTGCACAGCAGTGGGGGGCGCTGCAGTGCACAGCAGTGGGGGGCGCTGCAGTGCACAGCAGTGGGGGGCGCTGCAGTGCACAGCAGTGGGGGGCGCTGCAGTGCACAGCAGTGGGGGGCGCTGCAGTGCACAGCAGTGGGGGGCGCTGCAGTGCACAGCAGTGGGGGGCGCTGCAGTGCACAGCAGTGGGGGGCGCTGCAGTGCACAGCAGTGGGGGGCGCTGCAGTGCACAGCAGTGGGGGGCGCTGCAGTGCACAGCAGTGGGGGGCGCTGCAGTGCACAGCAGTGGGGGGCGCTGCAGTGCACAGCAGTGGGGGGCGCTGCAGTGCACAGCAGTGGGGGGCGCTGCAGTGCACAGCAGTGGGGGGCGCTGCAGTGCACAGCAGTGGGGGGCGCTGCAGTGCACAGCAGCTGTCTCTTATACACATCTAGATGTGTATAAGAGACAGGGTCTGCTCAGTCTGCCTGGTCTTCTTGGCTTCTTTGCCCCTGGTCTTCATGGTTTGCCTGGTCTGCTCAGCCTGCCTGGTCTTCTTGGCTTCTCTGCCTCTGGTCTTCATGGTTTGCCTGGTCTGCTCAGTCTGCCTGGTCTTCTTGGCTTCTTTGCCTCTGGTCTTCATGGTTTGCCTGGTCTGCTCAGTCTGCCTGGTCTTCTTGGCTTCTCTGCCTCTGGTCTTCATGCATGGTTTGCCTGGTCTGCTCAGTCTGCCTGGTCTTCTTGGCTTCTTTGCCTCTGGTCTTCATGGTTTGCCTGGTCTTCTTGGCTTCTCTGCCTCTGGTCTGCCTGGTCTGATCAGTCTGCCTGGTCTTCTTGGCTTCTCTGCCTCTGGTCTGCCTGGTCTGATCAGTCTGCCTGGTCTTCTTGGCTTCTCTGCCTCTGGTCTGCCTGGTCTCTATTGCTTGGTTAGTCTGCAGTCTGCCACAGCCTCGCTGCCAGCCCCATTGCGTGCGTAGGATCTTAGGAGCGTCGGCATGTCGCCGCGATGCCAGGGATCAACATGCATGCATGTCTGGGATTGGTTATTACATTATTACACGTGCGTGTACATGTACTTCAGACCCGTACATGTATTTTCAAAACGTGCACATGCACTTAAGCCTTCCTTAACCCTCTTCCGCCGTATGTCACTCTCCAGAAACATAACTTCCAACTTGAATTATACGTCAACAATTGAGTGTAGCATTCAACATGAAGACGTTTGTACGCAACAGAGAACATTTAAAGTTTTCGTACGTGGCTTCAACCATCAGTGCAAGTCATTTTGCGCTCACTAGAACGTATCCTTTTCGGGAAGTAAGCGCGTGACAATATTGCTCTGGTTACTCATGTCAGGCGGTAGAGGGTTAAGCTCATGGTGTCTTGGTCTGTACACCTACAGGAGATGTCTGTACTTGGTCTGTACACCAAGACACCATGAGTCCAGGCTCATGGTGTCTTGGTCTGTACACCTACAGGAGTTAAGCTCATGGTGTCTTGGTCTGTACACCTACAGGAGTTAAGCTAATGGTGTCTTGGTCTGTACACCTGCAGGAGTTAAGCTCACGGTGTCTTGGTCTGTACACTACAGGAGTTAAGCTCATGGTGTCTTGTCTGTACACCTACAGGAGTTAAGCTCATGGTGTCTTGGTCTGTACACCTACTGGAGTTAAGCTCATGGTGTCTTGGTCTGTACACCTACAGGAGTTAAGCTCATGGTGTCTTGTCTGTACACCTGCAGGAGTTAAGCTCACGGTGTCTTGGTCTGTACACCTACAGGAGTTAAGCTAATGGTGTCTTGGTCTGTACACCTACAGGAGTTAAGCTCATGGTGTCTTGGTCTGTACACCTACAGGAGTTAAGCTCATGGTGTCTTGGTCTGTACACCTACAGGAGTTAAGCTCATGGTGTCTTGTC